AGCCACAGAAATTCAAAAATATCAACGGCTACATGAAGACACCATGGCAGCATTATTTTGACCGTTGGTCTCAAGGGAAACACATTTTCAACATCCTAAAGGAAAAAATCAATTCTGAAGTCTTTGAATGGTTTCCTCAAGGTCAAATACATACATTGTAACAAAGAAAATGCGGCGGGAATTAGAGCAAATGAACGCCTTCACGAACACAACCTCGGTGCTGCTGCGGGGACAATAATTGGCTCCAACATCTGGTGTTGGTTGTGTTGGTATGGTGGTGGAGGTAGCGTTGGGTTTTTGGGTGGGAGGAGGAGGGGAGGGGGCCGTTAAAGTATCCTCCGCAACAACCGTATTGTCGAACAAAATAAGTCATTTAAAATGTCAATCATACCTTCGGATAACTCCAGCTCCAGCTCAGCCAATCTGGCCCGCACTTCCAATGGAAGGGGCAGCGCATCGCGGTCCGCCATTGTCCGTTTAAGGGGGTAAAAATCACTCTCGTCCTATTTCTTCGACTCTTTCAGCGCAGCTGGCGTTTCTCCGCGTCGCAGCGGTGCATAAGGAGGGCTGGGGGGGACGCGTGTCCAAAAACAAACTGTTCTGTGAACGATAGTGCTCGGAGATTCGCTGTCCCTCTCAACGAAGCCCCGCCATATCTGAAGGGCTCCGCCGTTAGAGTCAGCAGTGTAAGATGTGGACTGTCAGTGCGGTGAAGCTCGAGGATCGGAGCGGTATTGTGTGTGTGTGTGTGTGTGTGTGTGTGTGTGTCTCTCTCTCTCTCTCTCTCTCTCTCTCTGTCACTCTCTCATGACGCAAGGCGAGTGTGATTTTAACAGCCGCAAGGGGGCGACAGAAAACCTCTGTTTATGTTTTCATAAATAATTATTTCATACTGAGTATACCTGTTCAGGTTACATTTATATAATATAATATATATTTATATTATTAGTATTACTATTATTAGAAACAAACCGACACGAAATATAATATGTTAAATATTAAAAGTGTAGAGAAAGACGTTTATAATGTTATAAAAATTATATTTCAAATAAATCCTGTTCTTTTAAACTTTCTTTTTTTTCAAAAAATACTGAACAAAATGTATCTAGACAAAAAGTATTAAGCAGTACAGCCCTTTTCGACATTGATAATAATAAGAAATGTTTCTTTGAGCAGCAAATCAGCATATTTTCATGAGTTGTAATCACATTTTTCTTAAGTCAAATCAACTTAAATAATTTATGTAGTTCAGATAACATATTTTTGAGTTTCTGATGATTAAATCAATCTCCTTCATTGTATTAACTCAATTTTTCCGTTTCAATGAACTTAAAATTTTAAGGCAGCCAGGTTACTTCATTTTTTAAGTTAAACCAACAATATTTTTTACTGTGAATTGACTCTGAAGATTGTGTAGTAGGCTAATGATACTGAAAAGTCAGCTTTGCATCACAGGAATACATTACATTTTAAAATATATTTAAATACAAAAAGGCTTGTAATAGTAATAATATTTCACAATATTGCTGTTTTTAAGAAATGCAGCCTTAGTGAGAATACTTTTTTTAGTGACAAACCCCAGACTTTTCAATGGTATGTAGGCTATATACTATTGAAAATCAGGGATTTTTTGTTTATCTACATCTTAAAATAAAGTTATGAAACATTATGATGTGAAATTAAGAACACATATTTGAGAAGTCTGCTTTATTTTTAGGTCACTCAGGAATAAATTTGACATCGGTTATATGTTCTTGCTTTATACAATCTTGATGTTAAAGCAGCTTGAGTGCCTTAAGCAAAAGTGGGACAAATCAAAGTCTAAGAAATTCATGCACATTTTCATTGTAACATTTCACACACACAAATATAGATATTGAAGCATTGCAACTATTGTTATCAGACTTGTTGACTGATAATCCTGTTGGTTGCATTAATACTTCAGATGGTATTGTAATGTATACTGGAATAAAAGACCAGGAGAGTGCTTCATTTGTGTGGTGGAACGCTTATTGTAGTTCAAGTCTTAAACAAGATTGTTCTCCATTATTAATGCTAATACTATGCCACCTAGTGGTCATAACTGTGAGCAAACATTGAGAATTGAAAATTACTTAAAAAATAGTTATCCCAAAAATGCTGCAAAAAAAAAAAAAAAATCATCATCTAGTGTCGTTTAAATCCCTTTGAAGCTGCACTGAAACTCTCATTTGGACCTTGAACCGTTTGGTTCCCAATGAAGTTCATTATATGGAGAAAATCCTGGAATGTTTTCATCAAAAACCTTAATTTCTTTTCGACTGAAGAAAGCAAGACATGGACATCTTGGATGACATGGGGGTGAGTAAATTATCAGCAAAAGTTATTTTAAAAACTGAACTACTCCTTTAAATGAAACAAAACAGGACCACTCGATAGACACCATTTCTCATTAACATTTATTTATTATTTTTTTTCCCATACAGTTTCTCATAACCAATTTTAGGGTACCTTTAACATTTTCCAATTATTTACATCTGTACAGAGAAAGCACACATACAAGTATATGTGTATGTATACATGTACTACAGTTTAGACTACAAGCATTTACACAGAGGAGAACAAAACAAAAATCCCATCTCAATCCCAAAAGTATTGTGCTACACAAATGTAGTGAGGAAGGCTTCGGACACCTCTACCACATCATCCTTTTTTCTACACTTTGGGAATTGAAAAAGAAAATAAACAAACAAAAAACAAAACAAAATTCACCCTCCATACTGTCATCTAAAAAGTTAAGGCAGAGACATTTCTTTTTTTTTTTCAAGTTTAAATAAAATTCAAGTTTTCAAACACTGTTAATTTATATGTGATGTTTCTTTATAGTTTGTTTCTTTTTTGAACATCTGAATGGTTTATGTAATGAAACCATTACTTCAACCATGGTACGCTTCATTTATTGATGGAAAAATGATCAGTTGCATTCAAAGAGTCAGAAAAATCAACAGAAACTTTTTTTTTTTGATTAACCGAGGGAAAAAAAAATACTCACAGGGAAAATACAAGAATATATAAACAACAGACGCCATGACAAACATCTCAAAGCATTCTGCACGTGCTTCACGTTGCAGGAAGACATCAAAACAAAATAAACTGTCTTTCTCGCTCGGCCTAACTCGAATGAGAACCAACGAACCGAACCAATGAACAGCATGAACGAGAGTGACACTGAAACGTAAAGTCTGCATAAAGGAGAACCCCCACAAAACAACGCTGGTCCATGTGTGCTGAAGGCTCAGATCTTTTTGCTCTTGATGTACACGTCACTATATAAATGTACACGATCCCACTCATATAGTTGTGGTGATATGAAAGCGAATCGGTGAAGGTCAAACGGCAGACGTCGGCGCGTGTTGGTGACTTTCCCTCCGTTAATATAGATAAAAGCACCAAAGAAAGCATGTGACGAACCGTAGCACCACACCAGGATAACAAACGAAGCTAAGAAGCAAATTATGTATCCATCTATCATTTAGATCACAGCAGACTAGGCACATGAACACTTCACCCTCGCAACCTGAGGACTTTGCAGTGCGAAGATCTTCCAGAATCGAATGAAGAGGCATCAGAGTGGATTCTTCCCAAACCATTGGCGAATAGGAAAAGAAGGAAAAGAAATGATTCAGCAAACCAATGTGTGCCATTAAAAGGTTAAAAAGAAAAGAAAAAAGTAAAAGAAAGCATGCACACAAGAACAGGTATACATACACCTGCTACAATATCACATCAGTACAATTTGATAGAGGATTAGCATGTAAAAAAATAATTCAGAGCTCCAAAATAAACGTCACTCCAGTGCTGGAACATCCAAACATAAAAACAGAACACAAAACAGCTTTACACAAAAGTCTCACTCATGCAGTTGTAATGGCTGGCACCCCCCGAGATTCGCGTACGGAATCGCACCAGTACCAAGACACTCAAGGTTAGCAAAATTATATACATATCAGTTAAAAAAGAAAAAAATTAAAGAAAAAAAAACAACACAAAAATAAGTGTTTCAGGATCAGCACTATTCAAAAATCAGTATTTCCTCCCAACAGCAATATTTGTTTTAACCCCAAAATAAAGTTGAGCTCTGACAAAACATTTTTAAATAGTTAATCTCCAACTGGTGCTGGTTCATTAATCCCATTTTCCTTGGAAAACAACTAAAGATCTTGTAATTGAAAAACGAAACGACAGAGAGGACAACAAAAATATTCAGAGAACCCTTATGCACAAGTGCTTTTGTCTGTAGGCCCTGATTCCAGTGACAAGCTGTCTGTGTGTGCACTCACAGAGACCGTGAGATAAGAGGAACTTTTTTTTTTTCTTTCTTTCTGAGCAGCCCTGACAAAGTTTTCATTCCCTTTCAGTCCTGGAAGCAAAGCGGAGGCTCTCAGGATTGGTGGAAGGAAGCTGTCGTGTCGCCGCTCGCTCGTTCCCCAGCGCTATGATGAGATTTCACTGTCTCTCTGGGACAAGCCGTCACTGTGGATTTGGCAGGTGCGGGTGCTGATTCTCTGCATCTGCGTTCTGCCGAGTCAGGGGTCTTGATGTCTTCGACGGCGGAGCTGGGAGGCCGGGGATCCGCTGACGGCTGCTGCGTTGGTGCCTCCCTTATCCTCTGACAGATCTCTGCGTAGCTCGGCTTCCGAGGCTCCTGGTCAAACGCAATGTATGGATGAAATTAATCAATTTATTAAACATACCTGAATATGTTTATATAAAATAAAACTTTTGATTCAATCAATTACGAACACTTACTGTTATTGGATTGCTCAGCAGTGCAGTTTTAGCAGCTTGTGTATCTGAGCATTTCTCTGCAGGTGTCTGCGTCTCTTTAGGTTTTTCTACAGTTGTCAGGCTGTAAAATACCAAACTAAAAAATCTAAAAAAGCCATTTTCTAGTTTACATTTTTTTTCCCCTCCAGAAGCACAGTTGTATTAGTCAATGTTATTTGCAGCAAGCCAATTTCATTTGATGTGATTATTTTACCAACTTAAGCCATTTTGCTACTGTACCTTTAACACTTTTTTTTATAAATGATCTGTTATGATTAGATTAGACTAATGATTAACTCATTCTAACATAACTCGCAGTAGCAACACCACCTCTGAAAACAATTGCTGAATATTGATTACATTTTGATAAATAAAATAGGTGTTTTGGAGCCACATTCTGACAGAATCCTGAGAAATCGCACCTGTCAATGTGACAGCTGTAAACTTGCTTTAGAAGAAAAGCAGTAAGGAGGCCTTGCTCCTGGCTTTTAAGCCAATCAGAAATACTGTAATATGCACATATGTCTGTGAATCATTTTGAGTCTTCTAAAAGTACAGTTTTTAAGAGACAGTGTGGTTAAAATAAGCAAAATACCTGAACATTAGTTACCTGAACATTTAGTTACCTGAACATTAGTTACTTTAGTTATCTGAAATCATTTGCAACATCTTTAGATGAAAACTGATGTTACATTTATTGATCAGTTATTAATAAATATTCATTGAACCCACTTTGAAAGGGCTGGAGAGGGCGAGTGTTGGTGGTCCACTGGGGTCTGAGCAGCAGGAGCGGGAGCAGGAGCGGGAGCGGGAGCAGGAGCGGGAGTGGTAGAAGCCTGCGCGGATTCTTTGGAAGTCCCTGAGATCACACGGCTGGTGACCACATCCTTATTTAGAGGCTGTGGAGAGACAAAGGGGCCCCTGTGAAACTCCTAAGGCAAGGACAGCATGAACAAACATAACAGCTGGACAGCAGGAACTCACACACACACACACACACACGCTCTAAAGCACTCAAAACACCCAAGGACTTGTTATGATTGACAGCCAGGTCTGCTGTTAACATGGCATTCCATGCTTGGTGCAAGTTAATGATTAAAAACCCTGAGCATCTGTTAACTTCGCTAGAATTCGAATAATTAAAGCCATGAGATTTATTTAAGCCTTTTTTTCCTTATTTGAATTTCAAAATATTAAAGAGAGAGTTTAAGGCTGCAGCACAAACACAGAAGACACGCATTAAAAGGACTGAATGAAAATCAACCTTGTCTTTAATCGCTCCAGTGACGACATCAGACAGCCGGTTGTCAAGGCTGTTTTCAGTTTTTACTTCTGGCTTTAGATTTCCTGCAGCTCCAGGCAGAGGAGGGAAGCTGGACAGGCCCAGCTCAAAGCTAGGGGACGGGGTGCGCTCCTGAACAGGAGGGGGTGACTGTGTTGCTGCTCTCTGGTAAACACACACGAGAAGAAGAAGAGTTGAAACACACAACAAACTGAGCCTGTAAACAAGAGACATGTTGCATGAAGCTGGTTTCAGTTGCTACCCAAGTTAAGTCTGAGTTTATCGGCCTCATTAGGGTGGATTGGTTTTTAGAAAGGTTCACCGTCATGGTAAATTGCGCTACATCACTCTGGGGTCTCTTTTACCGAATTTGGGGGGTTTTCTTACTGAAATTCTTGTTCAAATCAATATTTCATGTCCATTTATTTGTTTACTTGGCTGTGTAATAAATAAAAGCAGCCCTTCAGGGTTTACTGTACATTACAATTCCCTTGAAGAATATAAAGTTTTCTATCATAGCAAAAGCTAATCTAAACAAACACTTGTTTATGCAGTGGTAGCTGAATCAAAGCAAATGACATACTGGAAACTTGTTGTCATCTCTCTTTTTCCTGTATCCATAGCCGCCTCTTCTTCAAAAGAAACAAACAATCAAGACTGAGCAATACGGAAAGAATAGAAACAATTTCTTAAGGAAGAAGTTCTATAAGTTCCCCACCCATCTTGGATATTGTATTACCACAATATTTATGAAATTAATAAACAGCTGGTACTGATCATACAGCATTACCTTCCACGGCCCGCGTTCAGAGAGTAATCAGCACCGTTTACTTCCATCCGTCCACTTCCCACCTGGTCCCGACGTGGATAGCCTGGACCACTCGGTAGACGAGGTCGGCTACCCAAGTGATGAGCCTGTGGAGGCCGCGTCCCATTGGGGACTCTCTCCGAAGAGAAAGTAGAGAAAGCAGCAGGGTTTTCTAGAAGAGTGGTCCCACGCTCTGTTGTGAGTCGAATGTGTGTTTTGTTATGATTCCTGTTCAGATGAAAAGATTTGTCAGTTGAAGCTTTTTTTAAAAGATAAGTAACTTTTTTTATATATAAGTCTCTAATGCTCATCAAGGGTGCATTTATTTAATCAAAAATAGAGTAAAAGTATTGTGTAGAGTATTGTGAATATTATTAGAATTTCAAATAACTATTTTCTATTTTAATAGTTTAAAATTCAATTTATTCCTGAGATGGCAAAGCTAAACTTTTAGCAACCATTACTCAAAACTTCAGTGACACAATCATTCAGAAATCATTCTAATATGCTGATTTAGTCCTTAAGAAACATTTCTTATTATAAATCAGTTGTGCTGCTTAATATTTTTGTGAAAACAGATCAATCTTTTGTCACATAAAAGTCTTTGCAGTCACTTTTGATCAATGTATGCGTCCTAAATACATAAATACATTTTATCATTAAGTGTACTTTTTTTATTCCTAATCAGAGCAAACTTTTGAATGGTAGTCTAAATGTATAACAGATTTTTTCACTCCAACACTGTACCTGTTACTTCGAGGTGCATATGGCCTGGTTAGTGGAGATGTTGCTGTTTTAAATGTCGGAGAACCAGCGAAGCCGTTAATAAATGCAGGGCTGGGGAACGGAGTGACCTGTTGATAGACAAAACCTGATTAAGTACCTCTAGTAGTCCATTCAGATATTTCTCAGAGCCAAACAGACCACACGGCACTTACCAGAGTCGGGTCCAGGTAGCTCTGGGTAGCTGACCAGCCCTGAGGAGTCACCAGTCTGTAAAGAGGAAACTGCTGCTGTGCTCCATACACAGGGGGGATGTAGTAAGGGGTGTAGCGTTGCTGGACATTTGAGGACACATCCACGGGCCGATACCCATTCTTTGGCACAAAGGTATTGACGGCAATGGCCTTGGCCTTTATTCTAGCCTAAGATGAAACACAAATAAAATATAAGCACAAAATATCCTTCAGTGCCATCACATATGCAGCAGTGTACTATACCTTTATTGGCTTCCCTTGAAAAGTTTTCACCTCTTCTCTGAGATACTGGTATGCCTGAAAAAGTGATGCATGCCAACGTTTAGCAATAGAAAGCAAGTTTATTAAAAATCCTGAGGCTGCAATCTGAAATGATTGAATCGCAGGCAATAAAAAGCATTTACCAGCTGAGCATCCGCCTCAGATTCAAACGTGATAAACCAGTTGTCATTGTAGGCAAACTCACAATTGATGAATTTGGGCAAGTTATCACTCTTAAAGAGCGCTTCAACTTCCTGTACAAATGAAAGCCAAATGTCATATAGATAAAAAATAAGGTCAGAGCATTCAAGATATTATTGAACAAGAGAGATGGCATGGCGTGTACCTCCACAGGAGTGGCCTCAGGAACCTCTCTGAGAATCACGATGCAGCGGTTCTGATTGGGCCGCACTTTCTCTCCACATTTGTCCAGTTGGACGAGAGGCAGCGCTGGTGAATCAAAAATGCATAATGTCAGACCCAACTGATGCGTGTAACTAACCCCATTTTGAGAGCCTAAAACAAAAGGCCATAAAAGCCACAGCGACCCATACAAGCGACATAGTGATGAGTTTAAACTCACTTTTTAAGATGTCTGCAATGAGATCAACATCAGTGGTGAGTTTCTTGATTTGATCAAGGTTTGCCAAAGTCACTATTGGCACATACTGGTCACTGTCCATTTGTGAGATGAGGTACATGTCGTTGGCAAGATTCTCCCTGGAAGTGGACAAGAGTTTGGTTACCATCAGCCCTACACTGATTCAACATCTTCAAGCTTTGAAGAACGATTAAGTTCATGGAATTTTACATATTTGGAATGAAATTCTGTTTTTGTGTGGGAGAAGAACGTATGTCTGTTTCATCAAAACAATGAAAGCATGGTGAAGCGGCTCTCTGCGGTTCTGCTTTCGTCGGCGAAAAAGTTAAGAAACTCGATGCTAAGCCCTCAGTATCAAGCCGAGCAGTTCGTACGTGACTTATGAAGTGTTTCCCATACATAGACTAATTCGTAGAGGTGCGACCCAGAATCAACACCGGCCGCCACGTGGCGTTTCGTTCATTTTCTTTAACGTTATTTAAAGCACGCAGTGCACGTCCGTCTATGAGGTTGCGAACTGGACAAAAGCGATGTGACAAAGGATGACCGAGTGTGTCCGAGAGCCTGCTCAACAGTGCAAGTGAGAGGGACAGAGTGAGACTTTTATTTAAACTTATATAAAACTAATATAATTAATTTTACTGGACAGTTTAATGCTCATAACCATATTTTGTTGTTACTTTAAGTACTTAGAGTGCAGTATTATGTTGCATAATGCAGTATTTGTGCTCAAAAGTAAGAGTAAATGTCCTTTACCTCAATAAATTTAAGGTCATTCCTATTTTATTTGTGCACATTTCAATCATTACCATTAAAAGCACACTCTTTTTACAACTAAAATAACAGTAAAGGGTAAAAAATAAAATGAATTCCCAAAAAATAAAATGGAAAAAAGGAATTTGGGAAAAAATAAAATGGAATTTGAGAAAAAATAAAACAGATTTTAATGGGCCCAAAATTACCTAGAGAGGCAGAACTCCAGTGTTGCCTTCAGTTGTTCCCGAAGGTCGTCAATCTGTCTGGATGAGTCTGAATCGTTCACCCCTGCACAAAATGATAAATAAAATGATAAATTATTGAAGAATGCTATAGTTGACATTAATTCTTAATGATTGTGTCAGTAAAAATGCATAACTGTAAACAACTGAAATAGGAGTAGGTTGAAAACAGTGAACAAAAGACCAAAAGGATATTACCTTTCATATTGGTGTTCTGGTTTGACACAATGCCCTTCTCACTGGCTGAGCTTCCCATGTACACTGATTCTGGCTGCGCTGCAAAGGGCAGTTCTACAGAGGTAGATACCTGCTGTTCCTCATTCCAGTTCCCTTTGTCTTCACTGTTGTTATAACCTAGCATGGACAAAACAAACAGTTCAAAACCTCTTCAGAAGGATAAGGTCAGTATACTAAATTAAAAACTGAAGGGAAATCATTTTTGGAGGTTTACCTCCTGAGATGCAGTCTGATGGGTCATCGGCCGCATCTACCCATGACTGCTGAGAATCTGGGCAGGTTGTAGCAGAGGCCTCTGGTTTAGGCATATAATTTGCCCATGCCTTCGCATTGGGATTGAGGTCTGAGATCTTGGAGGATTCCTGTAAAAAAAGAAAAAAAAAAAAAGAAAGAAAAAGATTGGGTTATCAATTGTACTAAGGGCTGAATCAATGTCTTTACAATCAAATCACCAAATAATGGTTACAAAAGCATTGGCCACTTAAGCCACACATATAAATTTTACTGCATTACATAAAATCTAAAAAAGATGCACATTTTCTCCAGATGCTTTTTGTTTTTT